AGTTTCAGCAGCAGCTGAATCAGGACGCCTGGGGCAGAGCAGCTGGGGTGCTGCCAGGTTGGTCCAGTAGTGCCCAGAGCGGCGCTGCGGGAGCAACCGGCAGCGCCCCAGCTGCTCTGCCCCAGGGTCCACAACAAAAGCCTGGTCTGCTGGGGGGGGCACACTACCTGCGCTCTGGGGAGCAAAGCCGCAGCGGCGGGGTGCCGCGCCTGTGAGGCTTTGCTCTGGCGCGGGACCCGCTTTGCTCCCGGTGCCCCTGGTCTGCTGGAGACGGTCCCCAGCAGACCAGGGGCACCGCGAGCAGCTTTTCTCGCCCCGGAGGTCGAGGTGGCTGACCGCTGCCTGTGATAAGTCGGATCCGCGTAAGTCGGGGACTGCCTGTACCATAAAGTATTTCTTACCTATTTTGCTTATTTTAATCTTACTAGTGCTATCTTAAATGATATAAACAAGTGAAAAGTGACCTTTAAAAACACCTTGCTCTTCAGACATTCACAAGCTATTAGGCTATAAACCAGAAATTTTGATTGTTGTTCTTTCCCTTTTATTCAGCTCCTCAGTCACACCTTTCACTGAGAGAAAAATGTTTTCTTAATTTTGAGGCAGTTTTGGGTTTGCTATTAAGGTGACTGTTACATTAATCACAAACAACACTCCTTTTCCTGTGGGATAGACACTTAGGACCCTGCTAAGTTGTCTGATTTGGTACACAAATACTGTGGTGATTTGTTTTCACAGAAAAAGATGTCTTCTTGAAATGTACAGGGTTATTTTTTCCTCTAGCAGTTCAGAATAGAACTTGTTCTCAGACGTTCCCCACCCACGCCTTTTCCATAATAAAGTGTTTGTAAAGGCTTTACTCATGCCAACAATAGAGTTTTCCACCTCCTTCCGCATTCCTTAAAGATAGATCCAGCTGCAAGCTGTGCATTCTGATCAGGATCCATACCATTCTACAGGTTTGAGGTGTCCAGATCTGGAGACATTTTAAAACTAGAAAGGATCATTAGAATAATTTAGTTTGACCTCCTACAAAACACTAGCCATAGAATTCTGTTTATGATTCCTGCATCCAGTCCATATGTTCTGGCTGAGATAGAGCTTATATTTTATTATATCTTTTTCTATCTTCTAATTTGCCTTACATACTGATATAGAGAGAGAATCTAGGAGAGGTAATATCTTTTGTTGGACCAACTTCTGTTGGTGAAAGAGACACACACAGTCTTCTTGAGGTCTATCTACAACAAATAAGTCTCTTGATTCCAACAAAAGCGTGACTGCCCTTAGTTAGCTGCACACCTAACATCAGAACTGTGAGACTGTTCTCAGTAACTTCTTTCCTTGATCTGTTATTTGGCCATTTCTAAATTCTATGCTTCAACTGTGCTTGCCTTCAATCAAACATTTCTTTTAATGTCTCTTTTGTACTCTGTAATTAGTTATAGAGATCTGACCAAATGAATGAACCAAAGGAAAATGGGTATGTCACATTCTGGGGTTCAGTCCTGACTGTTGAGAGATTGTGTTACCATTTGCGCTGTAACCTTCGTTGGGTCACTACGATTTGTTGCTGCAGCTACCAACCTGAGCCCCAGACAAATAACCGCATGCAGATCATGCTAAGTAACTGTGTGTGCAGCTAGCCAGCAATATTTCAGTCACACTCTAGGGTGTGACCCCAACTTGCAGGGTGACCCCAACACACTCTTCCATTTCTAATTTTTTCCCTATGTGTTCTGCATTGTCCAGCAGACAGTGGACAGTTCAGATATTAGAGGTTCATTGCCCTTGTAAGGAATCAATATTTAACTGTTTGTTTTTTGATTGGAGTTACCCAGACAGTTCAGTTTAAACACAACTGGTTTAGTTTTGATTTAAAAATAACACAGGTTTTTTAACTACAGAGAGAGAGATTTTAAGTGAGTACAAGTATAAGGCATTGAAGTCAGAAACAGTTACATCAGAAATAAAGATAAAATGCTTTCTAGTGGCTAACACTAAACTAGACTTCATTCAAGATGAAATTCTCACCACCAGCTCCCAGAAACATTGCTAACCAAAATCACAATACAGGATCCCCCAATTCCCAATGTTAAAGAGCTGATTCCTTTGTCTTCTTTGAATTTGTAATGTGTTTTCCTAAGGGTTACTCTTAGATAAAATACCTTCCTACTGTGAGGATGGAGACATGGAGTCTTGTGACGAAAATAGTTTCCATTTTGTCATCTGCTAAAATGCAGATCGATCTGTTCCATTTCCAAAAAATAATCACTTGACAGATGGTGCCAATTAATGTTGATAGCACCTGACTAGAAGGATTAGTTTGCCTTTGAAGAACAGGTTTATTCTTCTTGTACATTTCAGTCCTAATTTCATTGCATGTGCATAACTTTATGCATAATCAAGCTCACAGAGAAATAACACTCAATAAGTTTCTTCATCTCATTCCACTGCGGTGGAGGGTGAGATTGCAAAACAGGAAAGAGGATGATCTACAAAACCTATAGATCTCTCCAGATTTGCTGGAGGTCAGGGCCATCTGTCCAGAAGTCCTGCACCTCATGATTGACTAACTTGTCAGCACAGGTCCAACAAAATCTTGCTTGCTTATTTTTTGTAAGATTGGCAAAGGAACTACAGTGCAGATAGAATCCGCTTTCTGCCTCTCTAGCCAAATCTCTCCCATCCATGATTTTTTTTGGCACATCTGTTGATGGGATTCAGCAGGTGAGAGGAGACAAGGATAATCTCCTTTTGCTCAAACACACCCCATGCATATTGCTGTGTTTTCTTCCTACTATTTATGGAAGCAGAAAGCAGAATCTGGACCAGGATATGGAAAATATGTTGTCCTTTAATAAAAAAAAAAAAAAGCAACTTGAGGATTACCCCAATTGTGAGGGGAATCCCTATAAAAGGTGGAATTCATTGATAGGAGAGTATTGGTTTATTCCTGAGAATAACTTCAGACTAAACAGAATTGCAGTTTACACATTCCAGTACTTTAAAACAATCTAGGTTTTCATTTAATGGCACTGTGAAGGAGTTTTACTATCACCAGACTTCAGTGTATTTATGCACTATTTACCTGGCATTGCTTGGATCCTTAACTCTAATATGTTTTGGTTTTTTTCATTTAAATCATTGTTTGGGGATGGAGCTGGGAATGCATGGTTAAGTATGCAGGCTGTCTGAGGGAGAGAGGACAGCCCCAGCCCTCTCTCACTGCAGCAGCTTGGGGCCAACTGGGAAGCGCCTGTTCATGACCACTGCAGCAGGCAAAGCCATGAGAGGGCTGCATGTCTCCCAGCTGGGGGATAGACACACAGACACACAAACAGACAAAGTTTCTGAAATACATAGTTGATAGCTGTCCCTTTCTTCACCCCTGCCCTCTGCTGGCCCAATGGCGTTATAGCTGTCCCAATTTCCATTTTTGGCCCATTGCTGCCCCCTGTGGTCATTCTACAATTTAACTTTTCTCCTACCTTACCTACCCCCCCTTTCCATTTTATGAGAAAAAACAAATTCCAGGCACGTCCTGTTGTCTTGGCACAACTAAATCCTGACCTTGCTTTAAGTTATGATAAGAGGAAGCTGCATACCAAATGTGGTGCTCCTAGCTCTTTCTATTTAGGAGGCGTTCTTGAACAAATGGACTCATGAACAGACAGCTAGACTGACAGATGCACATTTCTAAATTATATAGTACTAGTCCAGCCCAGGGGCTGCACAGGCCTCCTCTGCTAGTGTTCCTAGGGCCCAGTGCAAACCAAAGCCGGGGGATTGGCCGGGGATTGGGGGAGGTCAGAGGCCTTCCACTAGTGCTCCTCGGGCCCATCCTTGTGGTAAGAGGGGGACTGTGGGGAGGGAGGCCACTCTGGCCTGTTGGCATGGCCTTGCTTGGTGGCCCAGCAGTATTGGGGGGGGGCTGCCTGTGGCTCCTGGGAGAGATATGGACAGCGTAGCCCTGCCCCAGTGGTGCTTGGGGGAGGGGAGCCAGTGGAACTCCTCCTCCCTGCTGCAGTGCTGGAGACAAGGACCGGAGTGAATGGTTTGGGAGCGGGATGGCCATTTAACTGGGCCAGTGGATGGCAAGATGACAAATCCTGTCCAAAGCTGGCCACTCCCTTCCAAGTGGTCACTCTGCAGTACCGCTGTCTCCTGTACTTGCTGCCCCTAGTGGTGACTGTGCAGTATCATATTTCTCCAAACAGCTCCCTCCCTTGTTATGGAAAACAATTGAATTCTGGGCACATCTCCTTTTTCTGCCACAACCAAACCCTGACCTTGCTTTAAGTTAGGATAAGAGGAAGTTGCATACCAAATTTGGTGGTCCTAGCTGTTGCTGTTTAGGAGGAGTTCTTGAACAAATGCATTCGCAGACAGATGCCTCTAATATAATGAATTTGAACTCTTATGTTAAGGATATATTAAAGTAGTACTGATTATTTAAAAATGTCAACAAATGCAAATTAGACATCGGTTTGGGATTTCATGCCTATGGAATATAGTCAGTTTGATAAAGGTGACTGACTACAGATTATAGTTAGAATATTAAAATAGTGTGACATTTTTAGTTGTCATCCCGTGGAAAATAAAGGTTTATTTAATATAAAACGTCAGTGAGAACTGGTGGAGCATTGTCAAGGTAAGTGGAAAATTGTAGATTTTTCAGATACTCCCCGTAAGTTACAAATTTCAGAGTACAAAAGGCATATTACTAAAATTTGGGTTTGTCCCACGGCCAGATTAATCCTCACCAGAGATTAATTAATACTTCCGAAATTCTCCATTAGTGGGAGGTGTTTTCTGAAGTGCCCAAACACCTATGAAATTTAATAATGCCATTATTTATCTCTGCTCTTTGCACTGCTTATTACTCATGTAGCACATCTTTAGAGTATATGTTTTTTTCATTTTGTGCTGTGCTCCATGTATTTAGTTGTGACTCTGTCCTATTTTGTTTGGCCAATCATTATGGGCGAGTTCTCTGAATTATGAACAATGGTTTTTTTTTTCCATCTTCAGAGGAAAGAAAAACTTAAATGACATAGTTTTGTGCCAATGCAAGCTGAGGTCAGATGAGGCTCTAATGCTATTTGATCACTGGAAGCAGGGCATTCTCACTAGTCTTCTGAGCTTGAGGTAATGATAGGTAATCCCTGGGGTGATATATTTAGAGACCCTCCCTATTGTGTGTGTTCTAGATGGCTTGCCAGAGCAGACTTGCGTTTATGTAGCTAGGCCTTGCATGGGGTGTGAGCGTGTGTGTATAAAATGACACTACCATGAAAAACATACATGTGCTCATAAAATCAACTATTTATGCATCTTCCAGCTCTTCATATGAAGGCAGTGGCATCATGGCAGCTGGCCTAAGATATTTATTAAAATGGAGTGTGCCACTAGGACAAGTGGAAGTAATAGAATACAGCAGCAGTGAAGGCCAAGGAGAGAACTGCAGATTCCCACCTCAGCACTTGGCCGAGAATGTCATTAACATTAAGCCAAGTAAGTGACAGGCAACATTATTGATGGATTGTACATTCTTATTAAGCCCCTGATTCAGATTTGCATGGGTAATTGAAAGCAAAAACAAAAGTGGTGTGTGTGTGTTCTTGCATTATATACAATAGTTTAAAAAAATTCTAAAAATGCATGAAGTTCTAATCAGGCTTTTGATTTACTATACTACTCCCCTTTATTTGTGCCTCTCTGTGCTGATTATGATTGTAAAATGCAAGACATCAGACTTTCTGGATTGTCCTGCAGCCTCCCTGATTCAGGGCCTTTAAGAGCTTTGGTACCCCCCTGAGTACAGAGCTATAAGAAGATCATGGCTGGTAGGGGAGAAAATCCCTCCAGAGGTGATTGTGAAAAATTTCTGTAACTATTCAGTTCCTGCCCTGTCCTGAGACAGAGGCTTATTTAAAAGCTGGGAAAGAAGGGAGGCACAGAGCATGAGTGAGTACTTCATCTGGGGCAACAAACAGGCAGTCAGGAGACATTGTGTATCCCAAAGAAGCACCTGACCAGCATCTCCAAAACAGAGCTTGTCTGGAGAGAGATTCCAGAGCTTGTCTGGAGAGAGATTCGGTGAGCGGGGTCCATAGCATTCGGTAGTGGGGGATAAAGAGTTGACATCCCTGCAGAGATCATTCCCACAAGGGGAAATTGTTCTGTTTATTCTGGAAAGGGACAGGCTCCACAACCCTTCCTCCTCCCCTTTACCCCCCATTACTGCTGGATTCAGAGCCAGCCCAAGCTACGGGCTGACCGGGCTACTGCCCAGGGTGCCTCATTGGATGGGGTGCTGCGTGGGGTTCCCTTGCATGCACCAGGTGCCCAGGAGCGGGGGCGCTGCGTGCCTGGTGGTGGGGCCACGCATGTGCCGCACTCCTGGGGCCCAGGGTGCACGAATGGCTCGGGCCAGCCCTAGCTGGATGTTATTGTAACACACAGATGTTACTGTAAACCTGTATGTGCACTAACTGCTACATTCTCCATAACCTTAGCAGGGGTGAAAGAAAGGGCTGAGAATACACGTGGGCCTTCTTGGAGGGGCTTATTTGCATGAGTTCCTATTTGAGCAGCCCAGAAATCCTACCTGCTGAGCAAGATTTCATTAGGAGTCCATATAGCTTGGTAGCCTGTTGCTGACAGTAACTAGTGCCAGGTACTTCAGAGGAAGGTGCAAGATTTACTGTGGTATAATGGGATAATATGCTTATAGGGGAATCTGCTTCCTAACTTCATTTAAGAAAGTGATCTCTTGCCCTGAAGTTTGCGTTTATTTCCCTTCTGAACAGTTTAGCGTGCATCCTATCTGTGCCAACTGTCCAAAGGATTGGTCAGCCTGATGCACAACATGTAAACTGGTTTCAGGTGTTAAATCTTTATGAATGCCATAAATGATTTGCTTGTCCTGTAGTTTTCTTGGATGCATTTTTTTTAAGATCATTTCTTTTTGCATCCAAACCCCTTGCTGTTAGCTGGCAGTGCTCCCTATTGAGTTATTCAAGAGCTGTGGTTTAAAGCAGTTTCAGTAGAGAATCAATGCACTTATTTAATGTCACTCTCTTGGCTTTTGCCTCATGCCATTCACTAGAATGATCCCAGTTCTGAGGTACAAATCTTAAATAGATAGCACCTTCCTGGTGCAAAGGTAGCAGAATTCTCTTGATCCTTCCTCCTAAATGATTGTAGGTAAAATTTTCAAATGTGCCTAAGTTACTTGGGAGCCAAATGGGACTTAGTCCCCTATAGTCCTAACTGTATTTTCTGTGGAATTAGGTACCTGAATATCTTTGAGGATATAGGCCTAAGTGCCTGTGTCACTTTTGAAAATGGGACTTGGACACTTTTGAAAATGTTACTCCCTGTGTTATACCTGTAGGCTCAGGGTCTGTTCTACTTTGCTGATTATAAGCCTCATGCTTAGCTTAGCGGGGCATTGATTAGGTAAGTGCTAAATTCTACTTATGTTTACTTCATTCTCCTACCCACCATCCAAACAGGGTAACTTTACATGAAAGAGTATAAGAAGTAGCACAGATAGAGGAAAGAGATAAAAGGAGAAAGACAAACTAGAAGTGCAGAAGAGATGCAAATAAATATAGGAATCCTCATAAGCATCTTATCCTTCCTTCCCAAAGAATGAGCACCCCATTAAGCTAATCAAACATAATCAGAAACCATGAAAGAATCCTAGAATCCTAGAACTGGAAGGGACCTCGAGAGGCCAGTGACTCCAATCCCCTGCCCTCATGGCAGGACCCAAGCACTGTCTAGATCATCCTTGATAGGTATTTATCTAACTTGCTCTAAAGTATCTCCAATGCTGGAGATTCCACAGCCTTCCTAGGCAATTTATTCCAGTGCTTAACTACCCTGACAATTAAGTTTCTCCTAATGTCCAACCTAAACCTTCCTTGCTACAATTTAAGCCCATTGCTGCTTGTCCTATCATCAGAAGTTAGGAGAATAATTTTTCTCCCTCCTCCCTGTAATACCCTTTTAGGTACTTGAAAGCTGCTATCATGTCCCCTCTCAGTCTTATCTTTTTCAGATTAAGCAAACTGAATTTGTTCAATCTTCCTCATAGGTAGTGTTTTCTAAACCTTTCATAATTTTTGATGCTCTACTGTGGACCTTCTCCAATTCTCCATATCTTTCCTGAAATGGGGTGCCCACAACTAGAAACAATAAATACTTCAGTTGAGGCCTAATTTGCGCAAAGTAGAGGAGAATAATTACTTCTTGTGTTTTACTCACAACATTCCTGTTAATTCATCCCTGAATGATATTTGCTTTTATTTGCAACAGTGTCAGACTTTTTACTCATATTTAGCTTGAGTTCCACTATGACCTCTACATCCCTTTCTGCAGGATTGCTTCCTAGACAATTACTTCCCATTTTCTGTGTGTGAAAGTGATTGATTCTTCCTACGTGGAGTACTTTGCATTTGTCATTATTAAACTTCATCCTATTTTCCTTAGACCATTTCTCTAGTTTGTCCAGATCATTTTGAATTATAACCCAATCCTCCAAAGCATTTGCAACCCTCCCAGCTTGGTATCATCTGTAAATTTTATAAGCATATTCTGTATGCCATTATCTAAATCGTTGATGAAGGTATTGAACAGAATTGGTCCCAAAATTATGCCCTTCCAGCATGACTGATCCGGCCCGTGGGAAAAAATCAATTTGTTTTAAGGAGTATCCAAGTACTAGGCCTTTTGTGAATTAATTCTTTGTTTTAGTATTTTATGTTTTGTTATATGCTAAACAACTCATGCTCAGAGTTTCTTGGATGATCTTTGTGAGTGAGTAGATTTTTTGGTTCAATGGTTTTTTGAAGATGTTGATTGTACATTGGACTCAGTGAAATCTTGTTTGGGTTTAATTTAATAAAAGAGGTGAAAAATAGGTCCCATTCACTTAATGAAAAGTGTACAATAAGAGTAAAAAGATGTCACCCATCACTCTTGTCGTAAACAACGGGATGGGTCAGAATGCAGTGGCTAGGAGTTACTGATTTTTGGTGTACTCTTAATGCAGAATAGATCTCTTTCCAAAAGATATGAATGTCCTGGGCTAAATCCCTTATATTGACCAAATCCAAAATAGTCCCCTGCATAACCAATTTAACAAGGGAGCAAGCTACTTTAACTTACACATTCTTCCCTCTATGTGTAGAGGCACAAGCAATATTGTCAGTATAGAATCATTGCTCTTTAGGGGAACTTATGAGCAAGTGTCAGATTTTATGTGGCTCGGGTTTACTTGACCTTTAGCAATTGGGATTCCAATCTGGCAGATTGCTTGCTTTTGTGGTGCTGAATCTGCAATGTCACATTACTGCTTGGTGCTGCAGAAAAAGAGGCTATTTGGGAGCTTGTCACAGCTGTTTGATTTTGGGGGTTAGGGAGACCATATTTGCCTATGCTGAATATGGTAAAATTATCCATATTCAAGCAAGCTGAATGGCAATTAATTAGAACTAAGCAGTACGAATGTTCAAATTAAGATCAAGTTGACTGAGCCTTTGTTAAAAAGAAATACTGAGTAGCTGGATTATTTTTACCTTCTTATTTTTAAGGCTTCCAGGTTCACAGAGGGAAGGGGTGACACATACACACATATCAACACAAACACACATGGGAAGAGGTCACCGCCACCCCATATATCGCTCTCACATAGGGAGTGGTGACCAGCTGACCCAATCGTCCCTTCTTGAGCTCTCCACTATCCACAGTACCTGGTGCCACATCTTCCTAAGGCAACATCTGTGTGGGGTGCACACAGGGTCACAAGCCCCCTGATTTCATGCCAATATGTGACCAGCAGCAGCCTTTTGGCACTGTGCGGGAGAAAAGGGGAAAGAAGCAGCTTTCAGCTGCAGGGAAGGAAGGAGGGAAAGGCTGACCTGGCTTATGTCTTTGCAGGGTTCATCTCTTCTTCTTCCCTCAGGAAACAGCTTTTCCCTTCCTACCTGCTGAGTGTCAAAAAGCACCTAACACCTCCCGGCTGCTGCTAGTCACCACCATAACCCAATCGTGTCCTGTCCTTCAGCTATAGTGCAGGCAGAAAGGGGTTAAGTTGTAAGAATGCACTGTGCACCAGGGCCCAGAGAACCGGACTGCAGAGCTTCAGAAAACCTGTCCAGAAAGATGGCTCAGCAGAGAAGGATGCGTAGGGGATGGAGCAGCACCATGCTTCCTGGGGCCAGGACGTAGTGTGTGAAGAGGATGCTAACTGCCTGCCCCAGTGGCTGCAGTGGAACCTACATGTTCACGACTTGAACAGACTGGAAATTGCTTCCCTACCAGTTCCCGACATATAACTGGATGCCACCAGGTGGCTACCCACACTCACTTACCACCACAAAAAACAGGACTGTGTAGCACTTTAAAGACTAACAAGTTGGTTTAATAGGTGATGAGCTTTCGTGGGCCAGACCCACTTCCTCAGATCAAATAGTGGAAGAAAATTGTCACAACCATATATA